GAACAACTGTCATTTTATTTTTTTTTTATTTATTATATTTGCTCAGTCTGCCTTAACAAAGGAGCCCTGAAGCTTTAAACATGTAGAACCATTTTAACTAAAGAATAACTTTCTGATAAGACCTCAGGATTAAAAGTTAACAGGGAAGATTCCAGCCACAAAAGTTATGTAGTTTCTACAAGGTTGAGTCATCACTTATATCCTGACAATGGACCATGAAATATTTTCTCATAGCTGAAACTTTCCAAGTACATTTCCATTACAAGGAAAATTTAGCCTTGGAATAGAAATAATTCTAAGTTGGGGCTGATAAGGGATAGGTAGTTACATAGTCTGTGCATTAAAAGGCTTGGGTTATATTAAAAGTAATTTGATAATATCTTTGGTCACAGTATTTAAAAGACCAAGTCTGGGAGCTTCAGGGAAAGAAGACTGAAAATTTTTGTGAGCTTCTTTTCTTTTTTAAAAAACATAACATTCTCCACAATGAATTGCTTTCTAAAATGATAATAGTATTGTTGTCAGTGTTACTTTCCATGAAAAATATGGGCAAGTGCATTGGAAAGTGCTAACACCATCAAAATCACCAAAATGGAGAGCTTCATCAGTTGGGGAGGTGCTTGCTTCTGGTGTTGGGTACAGTTGTATAAATTGCTTATAGTCGGTTTCAGGAAATCTGAAGGGGTGGACAAAATCAAATGAAGAAATCCTAGATAAGAAAAGCCAGAGCCTCTATACAAAGAAGCAGTAAATTTCAAGTATCAGAACCAGATAAGATGAAGCAGAACTAAGTCAAACTAAGCCAAACCAAGTCAGGGCGATGCTAATACAGCCTGGAACAAATACTGTACTGAAATAGAATACAAAAGGCTTGAGGTAAAAGACTTAGAAAAGGGCCTTGAAAACCTGAGAACACTTCAGAGTCAACGTTATGTGATGTTGGTGGGGGATGGTTGGTGAATAAAGGAATCGGACCTGCGTCCACATTAAATCCTTCTGGAGTTATATAGTGCAAGCATACTCAAGATGTTTGGGAGCTGCAGAAGTCTTCTAGCTCAGCCTTCTCAGTTTACAGGTGGAGAAGCTGGGGCTCAGAGAGGGGACACAGCTATTGAGTGTCAGACAGGATTCCCATTCTGAGCTCTTGCCTGTCTTGATGACTTCCACACACTTCATGTGACTGGGAAACTTTTTCAGTTCAACACATCATCAGCACTTACTTCATGCTAGATCTTGTGATGGACAGTAATTAGTCAAAGACACGTGAATATTACAGTTGAATGGATGAGAGAGCTCCAGAACTAATTCTGCTGTACATACCAGGTAAAAATTACCAGCAGATTTGAACTATATGAGTAAACACATACATGAAAATGTTAAGTGAGAAAACAGAAACAAAATCAATATATGTCATTCTGTTAAAAATAATAATCTGAGAAGTGCAATAATCGACTAATGAACCAAGTGTCATGCAACATGCTAAGACCTTCTGTTATGAATACTTTTGGCACTTATTTGATCTCTCTGCCTGGAGAGTTAGCACCAAATTTTTGCGCTCTGGGTGCTAATCAGTGCATGTTGTCCTGGAAGCCTCTGCCGGCAGAGAGCACTCTGCTAAGGAGACGGTCTGGGTCATAAGGATGAGGTTAGATTCTGTGGCTTTAAAGCAGGCAAGTCCAGCTTCCTCAGCACTGAGGTGGTCCTGCATTTCAGCTGGCCCCAGGTCTTTCAGGCCAGGACTTGATAGGAAATGTGGTCAGGGGCTGTTAGAGCTGGTTGCCTTGTGTGGTGTCCCTCTAGAGAAGCAGAAGAGTCCTAAGCAAAGCCTGGCTGGGAACACCCTGGATCCCTCTGAACAGCTGAATCCAAGTTTGCCTGCGTGAAGGAGACAAACTTAATGAACACTGTCTCCAGCACTTCGCTCACCATCTTGAGCTGATTTAAGGGGTGTCAATGAGACACGTGTCTTGTGAACTCCTGATTTACTTCTTAGTGCTCCGGTAACTCAGTGTGTGTGCGGGGATGCTGAAGCGAGGGTTGGCTGATCTGCAGCTCCCCCAGGCACAGCCCCTCCACGCCCCTCCCCACCCTCAGCCTTCGCCCACCTCCTCCCTGCGTCATCGCCCGCACCCTCCCTCTCCCCCCGCGGCTCTCAGTGGGCTGAGCGCTCGGTGGTGCTGGTGGCCCACTCGGTGCACAGCGAGCGCCACTCCTGGTAGAGGCGCCCCGCCCTCCTGCCCACCCTGCAGATCCGGAGCCTGGGATCCTAGGCCGGCTGCGCCCTGGAGGACCGAATAAGCTTTGCCGGTAAGGATGACGCCCTGGACGGAAGACCCAGAGCCTGAGCTGTCCCTGAAGGCAAAACCCACTCCAGGGGCTTCTCTGAAGGGAGCTACAGGAAGGAACCAAACTCAGCTCTGGCTGCCCCTAGAAAGGAACTACCTTTCCCATAGGCAACAGTCAGTACCGTTCTCCTCGAGGTTTAATTTTAGCAGTAAAGATGTTTGCATTGGAATGTAAATGCAATTTATTGTACTTAAGCAGTGCCAGAGGGCAGCCTCTTTATTTGTATGATTATTAACAGATGCCTTTGAAAAAGGTGTAAAACCCATTCCTGGAAAGTCTATTCTTTTTGCAAGCCTCTTTGACAGGGTTACTGTGAAAACTATAGAGACTGTCCTTCCACTCCAAGAATGGAAACCAGTCTTGCTTCAAAATACCCTTGCAAAGACAGGAAAAGACGGCCGAAAGGAGAGGGATGAAAAAGATGGCAAAGAATTGATAAGTGCTGGAGCGGAGTGGTGGGCACGTGGTGTTAGGGCTTTCTCTGGGCTTTTTTATTGGAAAGAGGCGAGCCACGCTCTCCTGATTTCTCTGACCTTTTAGCACTATTATTGATTTAAACAGAGGCTGCCTGTCATTTTTAGCCACTCACACCCCCATTAAACTTTCTCATTTGTGAAATCAACTTTCACTTTATTCCAAGTACATTTGTCTTAGAGAAATGTAAAAGTCCTATTTTGCTGCTTGGGGAATTTTGCTTGCAATCTGATTTACAATTCAGAAAAGAAAATGTTAAAATTTCAGCCAAATAACATTTTTTTTTTAAACTGGGAATTGAACTCAGGACCTCATTACTTGCTGGTATTAAAAATGTTTTTCACTTTTTAAAATGTGAGATTGTTTAGTGTATGCTTGGTACAAAAAGATTTACTCATTAAATGTTAAAATAACTACTTGCTAGTGTGGATTCATTCTGTTACTGAATAAGTTATCTATCTTTCTGTGCCCAAAGCTTAAGTATCCACATATATATATTGCATTTTAACAGCCAGATCAGACTCAGAACTTGGGAGGATGAAGCTACCTCATCTTAGCACAGAATTAACTTTACAGGTGAGAAATCCAAGATGGGAAGGTTAGGAAAGAACTAAATCAAATTAGTAGTACTCAAGTCATTATTTTTTAATTCTAAAGTTTAAAAAATTTAAAAGCTTCATATAGGTAAAGCTGATGTGTGATTAGCTAAAAGAAAATTATAATCATAATTTTCTTTAAGGCCTGTAAGTTAGCAACCCTAATACATTTATAGTATTCTTTTCCTTCAGAGTCCTACTTAAAAAATACCGAGATAAGTCAAGAGCCATTTGCTGTGCATCTCATAAATCAACAAATGAAAAAGCTAGCAGAATTCCCATGGCAAAAGTCTACCGTCATTAATCCCAAATTTTATTTACACACAACACATCTATTGCATAAATTGAGATGTACATATTCTGGAAAAATACCTCACAAAACAAAGAGAGGCTTTATTTTTTTTTTATTGTGATGAGAAACAGAAGTTGTGGGTTACTGTAAAATAATTATCTGTGTAACTTTACCATCTTTCTTTCCCTTCGATGCTGCCAAACCTTTAAAGCAGACATTACTTTGTCTTCATTCCTAACTAAACTTGAAAATAGTGCTATGGTATGATATTTTGAATAGACCTTGGCATACTGTCAATGACTTTCTTGCTGTTTATCCTCAGTGGAGAATCCAGGGAGAGCCTGTCCTTTAGTAATAATTATAAAGTATTTGATAAACATATGTGAACTACTTGGCAGGTTTGAGATTTTCCTTAGTGTCGAAATCAGTTGCAGTGAGTTTGGCAGACTGTCCAGCAGTGCTGTAGGTCACGGTGGATGTGTGCTGGCTCTATAACTGCTTTTAGAAAACCACCTGCCAGAAAATTGTCTGGCTGTAGACAGCGTTATCAGCACTCAGCTCATCAGCATAGCTCTGGGACCTGCAGGTGGGTTTTCTAAATGTGAGAAGTTTCATATGCGACTACCAATTAGCACACTATTAGACAGACCCTGCTCAGTCTCTCTTGGTTTTACATAAATTCTGTTCCACACCTGAAGGAAAGTAAACAATGTAAACGCCTGGGTTAGATGTGCCCTCCGCAGGCCTGCCTCACCATCTAGTGGTAGCAACACAGACAGCAAGTGTGTTCCTTGGGAGGAGCAGCTATGCGAACCTTCCTGAGGATCAATGACTAAATAACTGGTGTTTCCTAACTCTAAGCTTACTTCAGAGCTGGAAGAGATCCTAGAAAGTAACAGTTTAACTTAGTAACTGAGAACTACTGTCAGAGAGATCTGATGAAATGATTTTAAAATGATACACAGCATAGTTGACTTAGTGTGCTTTTGTTGAATGAACTTATTTATTTAACCTACTCCAATTCTGTGCCATACCGCCATATGTATCATAATTTTATTTTTAGCTCTAAAAGCAAATATCTGTATAATTTTTCTTAATTTTCATTTATGTTCAAGGCCCATGAACCAAATATTCTTTTCTACTTTGAGTCACTTCTTACTACTTTTTTTCCTAAACATCAAGGGATGAGAATTTTAGAATTCCTGTAGTTTTCTTTAGCTGTTACAACTGATTACCAAACTTTAATGTCTTATGTAAAACTTTACTGATGTAAAACAAAGCAAATTTATTACCTTATGTAGGAGGCACGAAGTATGCAGTGGGTCATCAGACTGTGTTCCTTCTGGATGTTGTAAGACACAATGTTTCCTTACCGTGGGCTGGTCTCTGAAACCACTCGCCTCCCTCAGGCCATGGCCTGGAATCTGTGTGATCTCTGCCGCTACCAGCTCCGGCTCTCTGTGGGTCCACCTGCTTCCTTTTAAAAGAGCCCAGTGACTATACTGACCTCACCTGGGGAGTCCAGGAGAATCCCCTCATCTCAAAATCTTTGATGTAATCATTTTGGCTACATCTCTTACTAAATGAGGAACACGTCCACAGGCTGTTGTGAAGAGGCTGCAGGTACCTTGAGAGGCTGTGTCAGCACCACGGTGAGCTAAAAAGCACGTTAGAGATGTGTGAAAAGTCTTACAAATACCCATCTAAATTTTATTTTTAAGAGACTGGGTCTTGCTGTGTTACCTTGGCTGGCCCTGAAGTCTTGAACTCAAGTGATCCTTCTGTTTCAGCCTTCTGAGTAGCTGGGATTATACAGGTTTATGCCATTGCACTCGGATTTCTAAGTTTTAAATTCCTGATGTTGAATAATAATAATAACACCGATACCAACATCTGCCATTTGTTGAGTAGTTATTGTGCTTTGTATATTATGTTAAAATAGTTATGGTACCTACAGCAACTGGTATATATATATAATATGTATATATATTTCTTTCAAAAATACTCTGAAGTATATCCCTGTTTAACATGCATAAAAAATAATGTTTAGAGTCATGAGATGCCTTTGACAGTCATGCTGCTAGGAAGTGGCAAGCGTGAGATGACTTAGCGTCAACACTGCTACCTCCACAATCTTTGAATTACCTGGTCCTCATTCTCTGCTTCGGTTTGTCACTGGGAACTATCCACTCTCTTTTTGCTTATATCCTGTTCCAAGCAGTGCTGCAATCATTGATTAACATTTGGTAAGGGCGACAGTGAATCAGGAATTAAACTTTATAAAATTTTCTTCTACATCTACTGCTCAAAGCCAAAAGTGACTAAGAAGGTTTTCACAAATGTTCTCCATAATTAAACATAATCGATTTGTTTAAAGCTTGTTTTGTACCTGTTTGCTGTGCTCTTCATGCTCCTCCTCTCCTGCTGTGGCCTTTTGCCTAAGTCATGGCCTCTGTCCACTGTTATTTAGCATGTCTGGGCCAGGCCACGAGGTCTCCCTGCTGTGTGCCAATCCTTCCTGAACAGGTGGAAGATGAGAGAAGAGGATGAGAGATGGCTTAGCACGTAGGCATGTGTGTATACACAGGCAGTGGTGTGTGTGTGGGGGGGACAAGTGGCTGGCGTCATGAATGTCTAAATAAAGGACAGCCAAGTTTTAAGAGGTGGTTATGCAACCGCTTGTATGGTCTACCATATACCACATACCATAGGTTAAGGTGGAAGTTGGTGTTGGCTTTACAGGGTCATTGATCTCACCAAATAGCCTCTGACCCACACTAGCCCTCCAGAAGATGTTTGATGGATTAAGGGACAATTATATCCTGTGGCAGCATAATATACAGGGCATGAAAATGAACAACTACCTCAGTACACATTAAAAGGAACCAGATGAAAAGAAAGGTATAGGTAAGTGGGAATGTGAGGAACCAGTGAGGGAATGTAGTTCAGGGCAGATCCTTGGCACCTTCATTTTGCATTTATATCCAAGGAAAAGAATTAATTTGAAATATTTGATATTGGGAGCATCCATATAACCTTCCACTAATTGCCAACCCTTCCTAAACTAAGCTATAAGCTTCTCAAAGGGAGGGAAGGAGAAGGAGGAAAGGGAGGGAGCTGCATTAGAGTATAATTACGTACAGGACGCTAAAATTCTGTACCTCTAGATAGAGCCCAAAATGTTAGGTCTTTCTTTCACTGCAGATTGCTGCTTTAGAGTCATTGTTTCAACTCTGACTTAGTTTCTTTTTAGGCTGAGGGCCTAATGTAAATCCAGGACATAAATAAGACACAGTTTAAGAGTTTTGTGGCTGGGTAATATTTAATCAAACGTAAGTTCACTGGCAAAGAGAAAAATATAGTACAAAGCCACAGATACATATGAAAATAAATAATTGAGAAAGTATTCATTTGGAAGTCTGTAAAATAAAGGTGTTCTTGAGCAAACAAAACAAAGAAGGGAATTTGAGAGGGTAATTTTCATCAGTACATGTTTGTAGTACATAGTGATTACGTTCATTGAGGTGAGTTGGTGCATGGACATAGCATATCTTAATTATTTTTTCATTCCCTTTCTAGTCCCTTTTTCTCTTCCTTCCTCTGCCTCCTTCCCTCAAAACTATCTTGAAATAAAAAATTTGACTGTAAATTTTGCTATTTAGAAACTACATGTTCTCTGACTTTGACTCATAAGCCAGTTTTAAAGTGACATTAATTCCCCTGTCAAAGTAGGATAATAATGAGAAAATATGTACTGGCTGCTCTGGGCTCAGTGGTTCTTTGCATCTGTTATCTCATTTGGGTTTATAATACCATTTTGAGGTAGACTTTCTTAAATCCCCACTTTGCTGATGAGGAAAGTGAAACCTGGATCGTTAGTGAACTGCCCAAATTCATGTACCTAATCAGTGGAAAGATGGACCTGCACCCAAGGCTCCTTACTCCATTTTAACCATTATGCTGACACAGATGCACAAATATGCTGAATATTGTCAGTGACCTACATATCTGAGAAAGTCTAAACAAATAATAAAAGTAATTATAATTAGTAAATCACCTTTTGCAGCTATGTGTGCTCGTTTCTATTAATAGACGAGGTATGAATGGGCAGTTACGCCTGTTCCATCAGTAAGAGTTCCTCTCCGAACACAGATGTTCCCAGTTTTCCCTTGTTTGCTTCACTCCCTTTGTCTGCAGGACCTTCCCACAATCGGCTTCACAGACTCACCGTGGAGGGCAATGCTACAGCCTCACTTTAATTAACCAAAATTGGAATTTGAAGCCGCAGATTCAAGACACCTGAAAAGTGTTGGTAGCAGTAACAGCTAGAAAACGGAAAAATGGGCGGGAGTAGAGGAAGACAAGGGACATTTGGGCTTTCAAAATACTACAGTGGCATTACCAGTTGGGACCATGTCTCTTTCGTTCAGTGAGTCAGTGCTTCGTGGATGATGGACATATGTAGACCGAGCCACTGAACTGCAGGATTGTTCCATCAGCAAGAGCTATCATTTACACTGACATTTTACCACAAGGCAAAGTTAGATTTTCCACAGGAAAGTGTCCTTAAACATTGGTCCAATTTTAAATTGCAGACCAAATTAGACAGGCTAACTAAAGCCCTGTCCTTTTATTACTGTGATTCAGAGGTCATATTACAAAGCTCTCTGCCCTTCCCATGCCCAAGATAAATGTGGGCATGGCTTTCTTCCTGTGGTGCCCTGTAGTGCCCCTCCTGACAGAGCTAGAGGATCCATGCCATAGTATGCTCTCTAGTGGTGGATTTGATTCTTTCTCAGATGTATTAAACCACTATATAAAAGTAAGTTATGTTTATTTATTAAAGCTTGAACTATTTGATATTATCAGTTGCCAACATGATAAGAAATTCAGAATCAATTTCTTTTGTACATAAAGATAAGCAGATGTTATTTGAAACCCAGTTGAGTAGTCATCCCTGGAAGGCTTTGATAAGATAATCGACTGAAATCAGGACTCCAGAGTTAATAAACAAATGAAATTATACTTGAATATGATTGATTCGGTGGGCTTTTCTCAAAGTCTACAGAATTATGGTAAAGAGCACAAACTTTATTTGGTAAAGAGTATGGGAAATTCTAGATTTGAGACCCATATCCTACTTCAATGGTTTGCATAGTAAATATCATGTTAATATTTATGTTTCAGATTTCTAATACCAAATAACTAAAAACTTGTAGGAGTAAATTAATGCTACTGAAAAAGGAAACCTAGGTGAGCAAACAACTCCACAGCAGCACAATTTAGACATTAATTTCATTCAAGAGTGCTTTTTACACATTACTATACAGATCATTAATACCATCTGTTGAAGTATACAAACTGAGAGCCTATGTATTTCTTAGTGTGGATAATAGGACGATATAAGTCTTTGATATAATTATATATTAAGTACATTATAGATAACTTTTGTCATAAATGACCAATTGGCAATGTAATACAGATTTTGTCTCACAGAAAAAATATTCCTTAGCTAGCTGTGATCCTGTATATCTAGATTTTGTAATCTGAACAACTAGTTGTGAGATAACAATGTATGATATATTAACTAGTATTAATTTTGTACTTTTCCCTCCTTTTTGTTTGAAATTCTGTATCATTTCAATCCTTTTTTTCTATTTTGCTTTTTTAAAATTAAAAAAATATTATTTGGCTAAAATTTGGCCTGCATATATATTTATATACATATATAACTCCGGCTTGTTGATAAATTAAGAAGAAGCAAATATCTCTTTAATGTTAGTGTTTGTATTTTAGGCAAAGACATAACTTTTCATCTTGGAAAATACCCAGTTAAAAATACAATTTCAAGGACTCAGTACAGTTACTGAATTGTTAACCTTTTTTACTTCAATTCAATTAAATAAAATTTACAAAATACTCCTTGTGAAAACTGAATGGAAAGTTATAAATGAAAATATTAAGTGGCTCAACAAACCTGTTAGCATATAAACATTCTGTATAAAGTAAAATTTGCCATGGGGATGATTACAGAATATGTTGACACAAAGGCAGTTTTTTTTCTGCAGTATGCTTTCTTTCTTTCTCTTTTTTCTTTCTTCCTTCCTTCCTTTCTCTTTCTCTCTTTTTTTCTTTTCTTTTCACTGTATCTATTACTTTTCACTGAAGAATACCCTATCTTTAAGATAAAATAAATTGCAAGTTATTTAGCAACACTAATGTTTAATATTAACCAGAATCACTACCGGGCATTCGGATATGAGTTTAAAAATGGAAATTCTAAACTTCTATGTCAGCTGATGCCAAGTCATGATAAGGATTATTATAAGCTTGATTAATATTTTCAAATGTATGATGTTTCAAATGAATTATGTTATATGCATATCCTATTTACCAAGAAACAAACTAATATACACTTTGTGTTTGATCAAAAGGATGTGATTAGTTGTTAATAACATTATAGGTGTGGTATAACACACTAAATGTATGGTATTACGGAGTGCTCTTATTCACTTCTCTGTCAGATACTGTTTTTCTTTCAGGCAGTGCTCACCTCTGTCTGGCTGTGGGCGCCACTGTAAACATTCTTCATTAGCGTTTTCCATGCAATAAAAAAGGTTTATCTGAAGAAATTGAGAATGAAGGTGCTGTAGGAAAAATCCAACCTTGACTTACCTCTCATATATTCAATATGTAAGTTTTTTATTAAGCCTTGATATCTTAGCTATTAGTTAAAATCAATCTAGAGTATAGATAACAAAGAATAGCAACATAGAAGTTCAAAATTGCTGCTCCCGAGAATGCTACCACTGTTTGCCACCTCCTCCTTGCCCAGAGCTGCTGATAAACATCCGTCTACCAAGCAGATATTCACAAGTCAGGAAGCCAAGAGAAGGGGAAAAGAGGGCTAGGAGATGTAAACAAAAGAAGTATATATAATTTTTCAAATACTGGCAACATTAAAAATATTTAACTCAAAAACACTGCTCTTAAATGGTAAGAATCCCCATGAAAAGGAACAGTATCTCACTATGATCATGTTCCTCACATGGAAAATCCCAAACCACACTCTGCTCTCCATAAATTCTTTAAGTTACTTTAGTACCAAGTTCCACTATAGGGTATTTTTGTGTGTTACTTTGCTTAGTTGTACTTGAATGACTCTTTTTTACTGCATGGTGCATGTTTTGTTCTCCATCATAAAATGGCCTGTGCCATATAGTTTCTTTTTATGACAAAAGGTTCTGTGAAAATCTAAACAGGTCAATGGCAGAGAAGGCCATTTCTTTCTTTCTAAAATCTCTACCACTTTTAAGAATATTATTCAATTATTTGCACTGCATCTTCATATCAGCTGGTTTACAAATTGTGGTTCAGGGAAATTCATTATATTCCAATGAAGGTTTTCGGAAGTCTGTAATAGGCATTTACATTCTAGAGTTGGGGAATTTATGGTTCTGGTTTTATGTTTTGTTTTGTTTTTAAACAGGATCCTGCTGTGTAGTTGATGCTGGTCTTGAATTCACTACATAGGCCAGGCTGGCCTCCAACTTACTGCAATCCTCCTGCCTCAGCCTCCCCAGTGCTGGTACCCCATATTAGATTGTCCTGGTTTTAAGGAGTTAACACTGCAATGCAGATGCTCATAGCTCTGTAAATCATTTGGAAGTATGGTTAGAGCAGGCTAAGGGAGAAAAGGATGTAACCCTGGAAGCAAAGGAGCCCCTCTCCTCTCCCATGCTCTGAGCAGTCTGGGGATGACAGGTAAGGGTAGGAATGGGTTAGGACTGGTGGAGCAAAAGTTGGATGAAAGCAATGAATTGTTTTGAAAGTTTGTATGAACCCACTTAGCAGGATGTTTAAGCTGAGCAAAATGCAACTAAGGTGAACATAAGGGTTCCTTGTGGTTAAGGTACTTTTAGGCTCAAAGCTTAAATGGAATAGATACACAGAAATGAAACAGGTACAATGAAATAGAAAACATTGTAAAGCCCCTCTCTCTCTGTTTCTATTTTTAAGGACAAAATAGAAGAAAAAAATGGAAAATGTGCTCTTTTGGATGGTAATTTTCCTGCCTGGATGGATTCTCATTGACGGATCTGAAATGGAACCGGATTTTATGTGGCACCCAAGAAAAGTTCCCCAGGTGGTGAGTGAAAGCACTTTCCACCTCGCCAGTCCCTGGTTTGAGGGAGATGCCAAGTTGGTGACAAACAGAATGTGTGGCATCGAATGTCAGAGAGAACAGCCTGCTCCCAGCCTTTCTGAGTTGGAGGATTCTCTCTCATACGAGACGGTCTTTGAGAATGGCACCCGAACCCTAACCAGGGTGAAAGTTCAAGGTTTGGTGCCGGAGCCCACTCCGAACAGCACCACGACAGCAGCGCCCATCAGGAGGAGGAGACAGGTGTACGGCACGGACAGCAGGTTCAGCATCCTGGACACCAGGTTCTTGACCAGCTTCCCCTTCAACACAGCCGTGAAGCTCTCCACCGGCTGCAGCGGGGTCCTCGTTTCCCCTACTCACGTCCTGACAGCTGCCCACTGTGTCCACGATGGCAAGGACTATGTCAAAGGGAGTAAAAAGCTCAGGGTAGGGCTGCTGAAGATTAGAAATAAAGGCAGTGGGAAAAAGCGCAGAGGTTCTAAGAGGAACAAGAGGGAAGTTAAGGGTGGCGATGGAAGAGAAGGCACCAAAGGGAGGAGACTGCAGGAGAGAGCTCGGGGTGCAAGACAGAGAAAACCTGGCGGCGGTCAGAGAGGAGCAGAAGGGAGGCCCTCCTTCCAGTGGACCCGGGTCAAAAGCATCCACATTCCCAAAGGCTGGGCAAGAGGAGGCAGTGGAGACCCCGCCCTGGACTACGACTATGCGCTCCTGGAGCTCAGGCGCATGCACAAGAAGGCCTACATGGAGCTGGGGGTCAGCCCGGCCGTCGGGAAGGTGCCCGGCGCGATGATCCACTTCTCCGGCTTCGACGACGACAGGGCTGATCAGCTGGTCTACCGGTTCTGCAGCGTGTCCGACGAGTCCAGAGAGCTCCTCTACCAGTACTGCGATGCCGAGTCGGGCTCCACCGGCTCTGGGGTCTATCTGCGTCTGAAGGAGCCGGACAAGAAGAAGTGGAAGCGCAGAATCGTGGCGGTCTTCTCGGGCCACCAGTGGGTGGACGTGCAGGGCGCGCAGAAGGACTACAACGTGGCCGTGCGCATCACCCCGCTCAAGTACGCGCAGATCTGCCTCTGGGTGCGCGGGGATGCTGCTGCCTGTGCCTACGGCTAAGAGGGAGGGCAAGGTGCACAGATCTAGACTGCAGGGGAGAGAAGGCCTGCTCTGGTCATTAAGGCAGTGGCCTCAGAGGCTGTGCCTGAACTTGGGCCTGTCAATGGCCTTTCAACATTTTTACAAATCTATTTTTTCAAAGTTAGGATATTTTCACACATTTTAATATGTCTAGGTTCAGATACCGAAATGTTAGGTGGACACTTCAATGCCACGGATATATTCTATACAGTGATATTTTATTTGCAAGAAGATTTTTGTAGCCTTTTGTCGTCCTAGAAATTAGACATTTTTTAAAGCTTCATACTGCTACCATAATACGTGATTTGTTAGCGGACTTACTCTAAGAGGAATCTAAGAAGGTGTTAGTTGTGCGTAAAATGTGACACTGCATATACAAAAATTAATAATGCAACTAGAATCAGGATAGAGAGGGAGATTTACAGTTTGCATTTCTCTCAGATCCAGTCAGTTCATGCCCTCAGTGTTTAATTTTGTTTGGTCTGAGAAATTTAGGCTTTTAATTTTCTTTAAAGAGCTACGCATCAGAATTAATGGAAAACTTTAGAAACCAAAATATTAAGTACTGCTTTAAAAAAGAGAAGTTGCAGCATCTGTTTAAAATGGGATACTTTGTTCTATGAAAGAAATTAGCTTAGAACTAGGTGAGCTTTTAATGTCTCAAGCTTTTATTTAAAACTCAAAGTATGAATTTTCCATGTATATGTAAGGAAGATATTTCACAAAAGATTATCTATTGATAACCACATCATATTTTATATATACATATATATTATTGTGCATGAGGTGCTATATTTTTAAGGCAAGGAATTCTGTAATTTTTTTTGTCAAAGCAGAGCTTGTGCCCTGTTAACCAAGTTCACTGTTTTCTTTCTTCCTTCCAACCTTCCCTCTCCCCTCGCTCCCTCCTTTCTGTCTGTTTTTCTGTCTGTGCTGGGGATCGAATCCGGGGCCTCTGACAGGCCGGCAAACCACTGAGTTACACCCCCAGCTCCAAATGAAACTTTCTTAACAGGACCATTGGTATAATTTTTTGATGAATTTTCTGATTAGTAACTTTAAATGTATCCTTTACTAAATAATATATAATTTACCAATAGGAATTTTTAAGACAGTATCTCACTATGCAATGTATGCTGGCCTTGAACTCACTATGTCGCCCAAGATGTCTTCCAATTTGTCAGAATCTTCCTGGCTCAGCCTCCTAAGTGATGGCATTAAAGATGTGCACACCATGGCCAGCTACACGTAGAACTTTTAAGAGAAAGTTCTGGTTGTCTTCATTAGATACCAGAGCTGCTTGTGGCTTAAGCGGGAAGAGGTCAGTAGCTGTCCTGGGGCAAAATCCAGGATGGGCATCAACGTGTATTTCTTGAATTCAGCAAATATTTGCTGATTAACTATAAAAGGAAGTTAGCTCAGGTATTATGCTTAAAGCATTTTATTTGCCTGTAATCTAAAATACTCTAAAACTCAGAAATTACAAACTTGATTTTTGGTCTGCTCTTCCTGGCCACATCCCCTTTTCTCAAAACATATCCAACTCTGATTTTTGCCAGGGTACACATTTATTTTAATGATTATTTTTAGATATATCCTAAGATGAGAGAGTATACCCTTGATTAGTATGTAAAGGAGTATTTTATTAGATTATCTTAAATGATTTTGTAAGCAGTAACCAAAATAGCTGAAATTGAATATAAAGCATATTCTTTTGTAACTGAGTTTAAGATAATTCAATAAAAATTCTTAAATCAGTTATAATTCTTACTGTATCTATATTTCAAAGTTTTATCAAATAGTAACCAATTTAAGTAAAAAGTGATTCTATATGATTCTAAGCAAATCTCACTGGCCAATATTTTATCACTGGTTCTAATGGAATAGAGCTGTTGACATGAAAATTGTGGTGGAAGCTTTTTATTTTTGTTTTAGAAACAGTTATAGGATCGCTGCAACCAAAAACATTTCAGGTGAATTGTGTATATTTATCTACTTGTGAATATACACACACACTATCTTCATCTTAGATTCTTCAGATATAGTTTGTGAGATTTGAGTAAATTCTGAATAACCTAGCATGCTTACTAGCTTATTATAATAGTTTGGTGCTTAAGAATTCTAAAAATCATTAGCCTATAAACTTATTTTTTTCTTTCAGACAGAGTGTTTGTAGCCTAGGCTGCCCCCAAATTTGTGGTCCTTCTGTGTTAGCCTCCCATGTACCTGGGATTGCATATACTAACATGCCTTCTTTTCCAAAGTACTTTTTAAAAACACAAAATTTTGTACATTTAATTTGCAGAAGTTTTGTTATCTTATGTTCTTCTCTTTACTAAAAGAATCATGAATCTTATATGCTCTATTTAAAGTGTACTATATTAACCAGAAAAAATTTTTTAAAAAGAATAAAACAAAAAAGAACAGAACAAAGCAAACCAGAACAAAACAATACAAGCAACACAACACTTCACAACAAGACAACTGGATATCAAAAGTAGCTGCCGTGATGTCTTTTTTCTTTGAAATAGTTGAGCATACCTTCACACACAATAATATCAGACATAACAAAATAGTATAAAACCATTCAAGAGAATGAAAGTATTATAGGACATTCAAAACCAAATAACCAATAATGAACAATGGCTACTCCCATTTTCCTTAAAAAGTTTGTTTATATTATCACATGTATTAAAATCCAGTAAGACACAACATGGTAGAACCAATGGAAACAGAAGAACAAAAGCACGGTAGGACTTCAAAGCAAGATGATATTAAATCAGTAATGGTTGCCGTAATGTCTTGTTTTCTTCAAAGTAGCTGTTCACACCATCACACATAATAAAAAAAAACAGAATAAAACCATGCCAACCAATGAATGAAAATACTCTGACTTCAAAGCAATATAATGGGAATCATGATTATCATAAAATCTTATATAAGCTTACCATTTCTTACACTAGGGAGACAATAGGGTATTTATACATGTGAGTTTGATTTATTTCACTTATGAGTATGGTCTCAAGTTGTGTCCACTTATTTATAAATATCTCAATGTGATCATTCTTTATAGCTGAATAGTACTCCATTGCATAAAAATACCACATCTTTTTATCCATTCCTCAGTTGATGGACACTTAGGTTGTTTCCAAGATATGGCTATTATAAATTGTGCTGCTATAAACATGGGTGCACATATATCACTGTGGTATGATGTTTTCAGTTCTTCTGGGAAAATGGCCAGAAGTCGTATAGCTGGGACAAATGGGACTTCCAATCCCAGCTTTTTGAGAAATATCCAGCCTGACCTCCACAATGGTTGCACCAGTCTTCACTCTCACCAACAGTGCAAAAGAGTTCCTTTTTCCCCACAGCCTCTCCAGCATTTGTTGTTGGTAGTTTTCTTGATCCTGGCCATTCTGTCGGGAGTGAGATGGAATCTCAGTGTTGTTTTAATTTGCATTTCTCTAATGAGTAATGATGATGAACATTTTTTCATGTATTAATTTGCCATTTATATTTCATCATCTGAGAAGTGTGTATTCATCTCAGATGCCCATTTTTGGATTGGGTCTTTGAATTCTGGGGGTCTGATTTTTTATTCTTTATATGTTTTAGACAGAAGTCCGTTGTCTGAGGGACAGTTCACTAAGATTTTTTCCCAATTTGTGGATTTTCTTTTCACTTTTCTGGAGATTTCTTTCGAAATGCAAAAACTCTTTAATAAGACGTGATCCCAGTTATTGATTCTGAGAAGTATTTTCTGTGCAGTTTGATTCTTGTTCATGAATTCTCTATCTACTCCCATACCTTCAACATTTTTACACAATTTGTCTTCCATAGATTTAGTGTTTCTGTTTTAGTATTTAGATCTTTGATTCATTTAGACTTTAGTTTAGTACATGGTGACAGGCATGGGTCTAGTTTTAGTTTTTGGCATATGGAGAGCCAATTTTTCCAGCACCATTATTTAAAGAGATTATCTTTCTTCCAGTGGACATATTTGGGCCCTTTATCAAAGATAAGGTGGCTGAGTGTGTTTGTAGTTGTTATATCTAATCTATTCCATTGATCTTCAGCTGTTTTTATTCCAGTACCATGCTGATTTTATTATAGTAGCTTTGTAGTATAACTTCAAGTCAGGGACTGTGATGCCTCCTGCCTTACCTTTGTTGCTTAGAACTGCCTTTACTATTGTAGGTCTCTTCTGATTCCAGATGAATTTTAGGATGATTTTTCGAGATCTGTGAGGTGTGTTGTTGGTATTTTTATTGGGATTGCATTGAATCTGTATAAAATTTTGGGAGAATGGCCATTTTCACAACATTTATTCTTCCTCTCCATGAACAAGGGATGTCTTTCTATTTCTGAGGCCCTCTTCAATATCTTTTTTCAGGATATTATAATTTTCTCTGTATAGTTCTTTTACTTCTTTCATTAGATTGGTTCCTAAGTGTTTCATTTTTGGGGGGTAGTACTATTGTGAAGGGTGTGGCTTCTCTTATTTCTCTCTGTGATTTGGTTGTTAGTGTACAGGAATGCTATTGATTTTTGAATGTTGACTTTGTATCCAGCTGCATTACTAAATTTATTTATTATATCTAGGAGTCTTTTAATGGAGTTTTTGGGGTCTTCTATGTAGAGTATCATGTCATCTGCAAATAATGATAATTTAACTTCTTTTCTTATCCTCACCCCTTTTATTTTTCTCTCTTGTCTAACATTTGTGGCTAGTATTTCCAGCATTATGCTGAATAGGAGTGTGATAATGGACATCCTTGTCTTGGGCCTGATTTTAGGGTAAAGGCTTTCAGTTTTGGCCATTTAATATGATGCTGGCTGTTGATTTGTCATAGATGGCCTTTATCACATTGAGGTGAAGACCATCTATTCCAATTCTCTGTAAGGTTCTTATCATGAATAAGTGTTGGACCTTATCAAAAGCTTTTTTCTGCATCTGTAAAAATGATCATGTGATTTTCATTTTTGGATCTATTGATATGGTGGATTACATTTACTGATTATGTATGTTGAACCATTCCTGCATGCCTGGTGTGAATCCCACTTCGTTGTGCTGTATTATCTTCTTGATGATTTGCTGCATTCTGTTTGCCAATATTTTATTGAGAATTTTTGCATCTATGTTGATTAGGGAGATTGGCCTGTAGTTCTCTTTTTTTAGTTGGGTCTTTCTCAACTTTTGGTAGTAGAGTAATATTTGCTTCCAGCAATGAGTTAGGAAGAATTTCTTCCCTTTCAATTACGTTGACGTGTTTGAGGAGTGTTGGCATTAATTCTTCTTTGAATTTCTTGTAGAATTCTGCAATGAATCCATCTGGGCCCAGGCTCTTTGTTGGTAAGGATTTAGTTACATTTTCAGTTTCATTAATAGCAATTGGGTTATCCAGCAGTTTTGTATTTTCTTGACTCAGCTTTGGTATTTCATATGTTTCTAGGAATCTGACCATTTCTTCTGTGTTATCGAACCTAGGAGAGTAGAGGTTTTTTGAAATAGGGTTGATGATCTTGTGTATTTCCAGAGTCTATAGTGATTTCACTCATCATTTCTTATTGCATTTGAGGTTTTTTTTTCCTTTTTAAAATAAGGTTGGCTGGGGCTTATCAATTTTATTTATTCTTTCAAAGAACCAATTCTTTGATTTTTTTGTATTGTTTTCTTAGTCTCTATTGCATTGATTTCTGCTCTGACCTTTATAGTTTCCTCCCTTCTTTTGGCTTTGGGCTTGATTTGCTCTTCTTTTGCTAGATGTTTGAGGTGTTTCATTTATTTGTGTTCATTCAGTTTTCCTGATGTGGGAATTCACTGTAATAAATTTTCCTCTGAGGACTGCTTTTTTCATTGCGTCCCACAGATTCTGGTAAATTATGTTTGTATTTTTGTTTGCTTGTAGATATTGTTTAATTTTTTCTTTAACTTCTTCTGTGACCCACTGATTGCTCAGGAGTGTATTATTCAATTTCCATGTATTTGTGGGGCCTTTTCAGTTTCTTTTATCATTAAACTCTAGTTTCATGGTGCTATGAACTGACAACATGCATGGGATAATTTCAGTTCTTTTGTATTTACTTAAGTATGTTCTGTGGGCTAGTATATCGTCTATTTTAGAGAATGTCCAGTGTACTGCTGAGAAGAATGTGTATTCTGATGTTGTTGAGTTGAACACTTTGTATACATCTATCAAGTACAATTTTCACAGGTGTGATCCAATTCTGTTATTTTTTTGCTGATTTTTCTGTCTGGCTGCTCTGTCCCTTTGTGTCAATGGTATGTTAAGGTCTTCTGTTATAATTGTGTTATTGCTTATTTGATTTTTAATTTCTGTAAATCCTTGTTTTGTATAACTGGGTGTTCCCAAATTTGATGCATATAAATTTAAGATTGTTATCGCTTCCTCTTGAAGTTTTCCCCTAACTAGTATGTGGTGACCTTCTTTATCTCTTTTGATCATTCTTGGTTTGAAGTTCACATTGTCTGCAAACAGTATAGCTACCCCTGCTTTTTGGGAGGTTCCTGTTGCATGAAGCATTGTTTTCTATCCTTTGACTTTTGGTCTATGAGTTTCCCTTTGGGTTAGATGGGTTTCTTGTAGACAGCATATGGTTGGATGTTATTTTTTTGATCTATTCTGCCAGTCTGTTTCTTTTAATTAAATTGAAGCCATTTACATTAATAATTATAACTGATATATACTGGTTTATTTTTTGATATGTTATCTTTCTCCTCTTGCTTCTTTACCTTTCCA